CTCCTGTACTGTTGAAACTTTGTTAAATATGACTTTTTCGTAGTTGTAATCTTTCGAACTTTTCAGCCTTTGCATTTTTAGATCTTCTGATAATTGGTGTTGTGTTGTATCGGTGGTCAGCCACAATTGATTTTTTATTCTTGTATAATGTTCTGCATTTGTGCATTCTTAATGGTATATACTTCTTCTTCGTTTCATTTAGTCCTGAAATATATATTTTGTTGTGCTTTCATGTCAAACATCTTATTTCTCTTGACAGGTTAGCATTTCTTTGTATTCCCACCTTTAATGTCCTTTTATTTACATTTAAATTGTCACAACTTTCACGAAATCAATGTGATGTGATTTCTTTAACCAAATATTAAATTTGAGGTTCAACTATTATTGATGAGGACATGGGGATTCAATTATATTTCATTACTTTTTCGTTTTTTTCTTATAGCTTTAAGTACGTGTAATGATATACCATAGTATTTCCATAATCTTGTATTTTCTTTCTCACCTGTAAAAACATTGATTATAGTAGAAAGAAAGATTGTGGTTATGGCGACCATTATTTGTTATTCAAAGAATTGACGTTTGTTACGAAGTCAAGCATTAATTCAATACGAAATAAAATAGATTAAACATTAATTATTTTAGTATGATGCTCCTGTACTGTTGAAACTTTGTTAAATAAGACTTTTTCGTAGTTGTAATCTTTCGAACTTTTCAGCCTTTGCATTTTTAGATCTTCTGATAATTGGTGTTGTGTTGTATCGGTGGTCAGCCACAATTGACTTTTTATTCTTGTATATTGTTCTGCAGTTGTGCATTCTTAATGGTAATATACTTCTTCTTCATTTCATTTAGTCCTGAACTATATATTCTGTAGTGTTTCTGCGGTTGTGCATTCTTAATGGTATATACTTCTTCTTCATTTCATTTAGTCCTGAAATATATATTCTGTCGTGGTCTTATGTCAAACATCTTATTTCTCTTGACAGGTTAACATTTCTTTGTATTCCCACCTTTAATGTCCTTTTTATTTACATTTAAATTGTCACAACTTTCACGAAATCAATGTGATGTCATTTCTTTAACCAAATATTAAATTTGAGGCTCAACTATTATTGATGAGGACATGGGGATTCAATTATATTTCATTACTTTTCTTCTTTTTTCCCTTTGGCTTTAAGTACGTGTAATGATATACTATTATATTTGGAATGTTAACATATTTGTAATCAGTCTTGTTACTGCTTGTGATGTTAATCGTATAAAAATAAATACAGATACATATTAATGTATACATAGGCCTATTCAAATGCCCCTGTGTAGTAGGCATATTTGTGTTTGTGTGTGAGCTCATGCGTGTGCGTGTGTGTGTGTGTGCGCGCGTACGTATGGGTGTGTGTGGGTGTGCGCGTCTGTGCGTCTGTGCGTGTGTGTGTGTGTTTGTGAGTGTCGTAAAAGGTCATAACAGGACTTGGAGCCCGGACTTGGTGCTAGTGATTTAAAGAAACATTATACAGCGAGACACGTTTACAATTTTACGGTCCCTTAGATTTTTATCCAGCAATTATTGGAAACAGTAGAACAATGACACTAGCGGTTATCTTTCATTTACTAGAACTTGAGAAAAAGAGAGAGGGAGAGAGAGAGAGAGAGAGAGAACGAGAGCGAGAGTGAAAGCGAGAGCGAGAGTATGAGAACTGTAATGGATTAGAGGAAATAATAGGCAGTGTAGCTATGATTTCAGTAAATTTGTTAATTTCCTAAAAAGCGTTTTCCGTGTATAAAAGATAGACATCGTGCAAATGTACTATGGCAACGCGATCGAAATGACGCCACGTAAACAAATACAAATACATTTGTTTTCGTTGAACATTGTGATTTTTCAAGGGAAGAGGGGGGGGGTGAGAAAGGGACTTTTCGCGTGGCTGGTTAAATCCTTTCCAAGAATGAGCATTCTTTTACAGCAAGCAAATAATAGCCAGCATTACATGGGACACATTGTACGTTAAATGCAGAAGTACATGTATTTTGAATTGATATGCCAGGAGGTATTCAAATATATCATTCATTAAAAGAGATGCACAACATATATTGTAAATTTCATTTCAGAATAATCATGATAATATCATTGTGTGTATACTTGAACGTCAGTCAGATTTTACTGAATACATTATCAAACGATGTACAACGATAGGGAAACAAGATCAATTTAGAGCCAAATTTTGAAACTTGGTAAGGTGCCAATCAAGAGTGCATAATGGGTAGATCAGAACTAGAACAGATGGACAAAGGTTGCAATCCACATATAAAGGTGAGAGATAAAACCAATAATTAGATAAAATGATTATTCGAGTTGTTATCTAATCCCAAATAGAAGGCCTACGATAAAAATTATAGATGATGATTCGTTATCATGTGGTGTTCAGGTTTAGTTGGAATATTTTATTTTTACACAACCACTTCTTTGGCAATAGAGTGAAAGGCCATTTTTCATACTTGGTTTACACAAGCCATGAATTGTTATATGTTGGCAAAGTAATATAGCAAATAAAAGTGATTTTGCAGCTTGAAGGGATTTTTGCTTTCAATAAACGGGTGTTGGCAAATAACTTGTATTTGTACATTTTAACATAATTAAACAATCAATGTTACACACACACATGCATAATTCAAGTATAAAATGTTAATTTGTTACCGTGATATGATATAAACATTCAACTAGTATACAGCTGTCGGAGATGCATCTGTGTTTAAACATGCACTGGGCTGCTAGCCAGCACTTTCTGTTCAAATACGTTGCTTACCAAACTTATGAGTGTCGTAGTTATATAATTTCTATAATATATTATGTGTAATCCAAATTTGAGCGTTACGATGAAACCATCGTCAATCTCTAGAGTATAGAGCATTGATCAAGCATTTCCATAATCGTTAAACCTGATGAAATATTAGCATAAACACTCTAGTAAAAGTGGAAAATGTGTACAAGTTTTTCAAACTTTGGAAGAATAAAACATACTTAAAATTGGTCACATGATAAAAGGAAAGAAGGTAAACTTATTTCACTTTACGGGATTATGTTGCATGAATCTGAGAAGCAATGAATTAACAGTACGTTTTAAAACGGAGAAAATCAATCCAACTTCCATCCTTTTTCGTTCTGTTGATAAGGCGTATGAAAAGTAGTTCAAGCAGTTGAAAATTAAACAATGTGAAGATTTCATTGTATAGTGGTTGATTCACTTGACTTTACAGTCAAAAGCTTGATGGTTCGAACCCCAGCCCGGTACTATCGTCCTTTGGCAAGACATGTATTCCTGTTTGACACTTCCAACTACTGAATAGGTACACGCTATTCCAGAGCTCTTGATTTGGCAGCTCGGCTGAAACTAGGATGATAATGTTGGAGTGTGACGGCGTGATGAACATGAGCGATTCATAAGCCATATTTATTATTACTATAATATAAGTGAACATACTGTCGTGTATACAAAACAGGTGACATACCCAAGATGCACCGATATATTGTCCTTAAAATATTTTATAAAATAATATAAGTAAATCATATGCAAATAATCGCATGCTAATGTGTCACCTCCAAGTGGTGCATGGTCTGTGATGGACTATTTATAAGCAGGTCCTAACGAATTCATCTTAAATGTGTTTTCGTGATAGCAAACAAATTGATGATACACAACAGTATGAGCCTATCATATAACTGAAATTATAGAAACAAGTATATCACTGCACAATAACAAATCAGCTCCGAAGTTTTGAAAAGAATAATATATTCCATTGTTAATCCTGTAACGTACATATTCAATCAGCTATTAATAACAGGTATAGTTCATGATAATTAAAGATAGCCCAAATCACCCTTGATCATACAAATGACCATCACGTAGTTGCAAACTATAGGCCTACCTCAATTCTACCAGCCCTAAAACAATTGCTTTAAAAAAAATACTTTTTAGGCAATTGTTTTAGGGCTGATCCTGTACATATATGTACAGAATCAGTTATATTCCTATTTACATATCTATGTTCCGATCACTCAACTGTTCTTTCGTTGATGGATTCGCAGGGTAATGTTGTTTCTTCTTTTAGTTCAAATACATAAAGGTAGGAATATTTCAAAACCTGTCCAAGGCTTTCGATATTGTGGATCACAATATACTCTTACATAAACCGAAATATCATGGTTTCCGGGGCTTTCCACTAAACATGCGCAAATGGTTTTAAAGTTTACTTGATTATCAAGTATATGGTAATCATTTTGTTTGTATGTACAATGTATGCAGAACGATGAGTTCTAACTTACCAACTGGTTTAAAGCCAATTACTGATAATCAATAAGAATAAAACTACATCCTTTATATTCAATAATAAAAATAGAAAATATATATTAGATTTACCTATCAACTTAAATTAAGTAGAATTTACTTTATATAAGGGTATACCTTTATATATAAAGTAAATTCTACTTAATTTAAGTTGATAATTTCCTTGGAAATGAAGTGGGATGCACGTAAAAATTATGTAATTGGTAAAATATCGAGATGCACTGGTATTCTGAATAAAATAAGGCACCATCTTTCTCCTTCTATGGTTTCATTAAGATAAATACATTGCTTATAGATAGATATATTACTTATAGGTAAATACATTACTCAAAGATAGATATATTACTTATAGATATATATATTTATATATATTACTTAAAGATAGATACATTACTTAAAGATAGTTACATTACTTAAAGATAGATATATACACACCCCAAAATCTGATTCTCTTATGTTCAAAATATCCTCCCAAATACAATATCAAGTTTGACTGAAGTTATTATTGGCTTTCCCAACCATCTGACCATAACAGAAGAAGTAAAAAGTGTTTTTATATTTGGAAATTTAAATATGTATTTGAATTCAAGTGTCTGCACTAATCTCAGTAATAAAGATCACGAATCATAAGTCTATAGTCACATGAAGTTATATTCACCTTTAGATGAAATTAATGAATCTTGTGCAGAATGGGACACGGTGTGCGGAATTGCCCATTTTAGTATCTGCTCCACTTTCCATGTCATATGTTTAGAAAGTTAGATTACTTTGTGTTTGGTCAATTATTGAAAACACGATGTCTTCATGGTCTTAGAAGTTCTCCTTTCTGAATTCCATTTGGTACTGTAAGCATTTGGTTGAGAGGATCTTTCCTAGAGCAGGAGAGCCACAGAAGAACACAGTGATCTTGCCTTTGTGCTGCTGTTTCAGGTTTTGGAAAACCTAATGTGATCACGTAAATGAGAAAGGAGCGAAAGACATTCATTATTTATGTTTCCCGGTTATAATAAAGCTTCCATTTATTAATTTACACAAAATAACAAAAATGATCAGCAAAGCTATGTTCCATTAAGTTCCTGATTAAAGGCCATACAACAGTATTAAAATCATTGCAACCTCTTGCCGGTAAAGAAACAGAAAAGGGGTGCCGAACTAAACCAGTGATATTGAATTCGAGATTACATGCTGATATGGAACCTTAAAAGAAGGATGATTGAATTAAGAGCAAATTGAGAAGGAAAACAAATTCTAAGAGGATGGTGCCCAGATAGGAAAAAAGAGCAGGGACAGGGACGAAAATAGACAGAGAGTATGTGGGTGGGTGGGAGGAGAAAGAGAAATAAACATTGTTTTAATTTATCAGGAAAATGTGAAAGGAGGACGACAGAAAGGGACAGATCTACATGATTGCAAGATCATGTGGACAACATGGCCTACCTCGTCCCAATCCGGCCTTCCAGCCTGGGTCCTCGTCTTCAAGCCCGTGATTGTATCTCGCTTTTTCTTCTTGTGGATGAGATCGAGAGCGACGTGGAGTCCGATGGCCTTCATGTCACTGGGTGAGAGAGCTGATGTCATATAGAGATGGATGTCGAGAAAGCGACCTGCTGCGGGTATCTCAGCCTGTTCCAACTCGATGGCGCTGATGAGGCTGATAAACCACTCGAAGGAATGTTGATCTCGATTGATCCAAACAAAGTCCACCTTAGAAAAAAAAAGGAATTAAGAAGGGAGTGAAAGATAATCATTCCATCATCTTGATTGTCACTAAGATGAATATATCTTATATATTAATGGGTACATGCATACTTATTACCATAATTTTAGTAATCATCCTCGCCATTAAGCATTGTCATCACAACATCACTGAACTTTTCTCTTTTTGTATCGTTTCTCTACATTATTCCGTATCAGTTTATGTCTAAACTGTTGGTCAGACTTGACGCCGGAGAATGAAGAAAGCGCAATTCATATTGTTGAGATAAGTTTCCAAAGTCTGTTCAAGTATCAATAACTACATTCTTAAACCAATATCACTCCTTTCTGAATCAGATTAAAGATCACGGGCGGATCTAGATTTTTGCTAAGGGGGGAGGGTAGACGTATGACTCAATGACGATGCTGAGCATCGTCCACGAGCCGCGAAGTCCGATGTCCGAGCCGCTTAGCGGCGAGGCGATTTGTTGTTGTTGCTTGGCAGCCCTCCTTAAGCCCCATAACCCCCCCCCCCGTAGATCCGCCCCTGATTTAATTGATAGTAGGCCTACGCCGACATGTATATATTTATAATCATCAGTCGTGTTACATCTTCCCCTTCAGTTTCAGATTCAGACCCCGTCTGTTGTTTACATGTTTAGTGCTAAATTAAATAATTTCATATAATGATATGAATGTAAATTGTGTTGCTTTTCTACCTTCTTCGTTTTCAGAATAGATGATGAATCAGTCACCCAAGTATGATTGCAGTTTGGACAGTGCTTCCTGGCCGCCTTATATCTCTCGTTTATGCTTTGCAAGATCGAGGCAAACGGTGTGATGCCTATTCCTGCCCCGATGAGTACGGCATGTTCAGCCTCCATGATATGCTGCGCAGGTGCTCCATACGGACCATCTAATATAACCTGGGTGGAACAGGGTGATAATAAAAACAAATCATGATTATGCCATTCGTACGTTCTTGTAAAGCATTCAAAGTGGTATTGAGTGTTGAGTCGACGAAGCTTCAAGGTACTTTCTAATTGTGTGATAATTATCATAATTAATTTGTATAAGAAATTCATCTGTTGTGATTTGATAACCTTGTATATGACCTTGTCACCCTTAATCTGTTTTTGTTGTTGATGTTTTACGGTAAAAGCGGAAATGGAATGATTGAATTTTGAAATAATCAAGCAAGGTTGAATGCCTTTTGCAAGTATCAACTGACGTTGATGATGACATCACCCATCGCTGTTAACATGCTCATCGATCTACAGTGAACATCGCATCTTAATTACGCATTTACCATTTACTAGTTGCCATGTGTCAACATTTATCATTAATGGTTCTTCGATTTTAACAGTGAATATGTTGGTAGGCCTGCACTTACTTCCAATCCAGTGTGAGGTCTACCGCCTAAATCCTTTGACAGATCCAACGAATGTCGGGCACCGTTCCTTCTTAACGTCACTAAACTCATCTTCCTGTTAACATCGCCGTTCGGCTTTCCACAGACACTTCTCTTTTCCCGACCAACTAGGGACTGTCTAACCCTCAGTGATTGTCTTTTGGTGGTACTCCCTCGAGGTGCCTCCTGTACATCAATGCTTTGGCGTGAGTTCAACGATTTCATTTTGAAACTGTCGCCATTGACCTCTAAAGTCATAGATACTTCGCCCAGCTCTTTGTAAGACATCGGTTGGCAATCACCTTGGGAAGCAGATGGGTGATCAGCTTTACGTGGAAGACTTAATTGTGCTGCATTCACTTTCTGTGTAACTGATTCATTATCGTTCTGACCAGTGTTATATGGTTTGCCCTCTGTTACGGTCTTGGTTCCATCTTTGTCACCGTTTGGTAATTCTGGCTCGAAGCCTGAGTTGATTGCACCACTTGCGGTTCTCCTTCTTTTGCCGTATGTTTGTGAAGATCTACGTCCATTCCTATTAATATGTGTATCCGAGATGATACTCTGCTGGCCGTTAGACTCCACGGCGGGTGTACTCTTGGTAGAACTTACATCAACGATGACCTCTAAAGGTACGTCGTGGTCTTTGTCGATCTCGCCAAAGCCTGCATTTTCGTGTTCAAGAAGAGTAAGCTCACGTTCTCTGACGACATCGTAGAGTCGCTTTGTCCAATGTCCCACACATCTTATGTGAAGAGTCAAGTATTCTGTGATATAAACAATGCCATATATGGAACTGTTAGTTGTGCCTATACCCCAAGCTTAGTTCATTTGTTTGAAACAATATAAGTACACAAGAAATCCGTATATAATTAGACAATATTCAAGTTTAAATATCAGACAAAAAAAGATACGACAGAAGAATACGAAATAGCTAAAATGGTCCGATTGGTTTAGCACAAAGCCATCAAGACCACTAAATGCAATACACATCATTCAGTGGCTCTTCCATGGCAATGTGCCAACTGTGTACACTCCCCTGGCATAAAAAGAAAACAAGACAACGAAGAAAAAAGGAAGGAAAAAAACACAAGAACGGAATTGATAACAGATATATATAACCCTACATGGTACATTAAGTGGACATCATAAAAATCCTAACCCTAACCCTAACCCTAACTCTAAAACCTAACCCTAACCCTAAACCTAAACCTAACCCTAGCCCTAACCCTAATGTCTACTTAATGACTCATTTTTCACTACAAATGTCCCTCCAATGACGCCTTTAGTAACATTACATATATAGAGAGAGCTATATAAACAAAATTGGGCCTTCTATGAGAAATAACACGTTAAGAGGACACCAAATTGTCCTCCTAATGACAATGTCTACTTAATGACTCATTTTGTCACTCCAAGTGTCCCTCTAATGACGCCTTTAGTAAAATAGGGTTATATATATATATATATATATATATTATAGAAGAGGAAGAAATTGAGTGAGAGAGGGAGAGAGAGAGAGAGAGAGAAGATGAAGAAATGTACCTTGTTGTTCTGGTGCGCTGCTAATGGTGAAAGGGTGCCACTCATGAGATGCTATGAATGGAATATTAACATGGATGTATTCGCCTGCGTGAAACTTGAATTTAGCGGGACGCTGGATAACAAGTTGTACAACCTGTAACAAAATCATCAAGAAAAGAAGCTTATTCTTTAAAGTCTTCAAATCTATAGATTTAAGTCGATGAATCTATAAATTATAAAGTCTACCATTGCTTTCGTTCTCTGTCTGATGGCAGGAATCAAGTATTAATCTGGTATTCTTGTTGAATTCCTGAGGCACGATGAGAAGTTGTACCACATGAATACTGGTGAGGGGGCTTGGCTGGCTACTACCCCCCCCCCCTCAACTCATTTTTCAACGGCTGGTTAAAATATTGAATATTTGCGGGGCACCACAAATAATAGAAGTCGTTATTTTTATCGATGGTTTAGCCGTCTCTGCACAAATTTTGATCAAACAAAGATGAATTTGTCGTTTAAATTGTATATACTTTAAAATTTAACAGGGCCAACTCCGCAATTGTGGTGCTAACTCCTGCTAACCCCGCAATCGCGGTGCTAAGCAAATGAATGAGAACACAAACGAAAAATAGTCCGGTACTACGCAATGGAGCGTATCGCAGCTGGCCAGATGCGAAGTATGTCCAATCATAACATTCACGATATCCGGGGTAAAAGAAATGCAGTGAGAACAGCGGAGATTTTCTTATTCCGAAATAGGCGCTAGTACGGGACTAAAAACATCGTGTGTGAAAAGCCAAAACAAAAAAATCCGGGGTTAAGGATAGTTAGGGGCTAAGCAAAGTACGGGGTTAAGCAAAACCAGTGTGAAAAGAGTATCCGTTTTTAATTTTCTCACAAAAAATTATGTTGTGTAGCGCCCTCTGCAACAAAACTCAATCATCCCTTTAAATAGACAGTTTCAAACTACAAGACGTTAACAAATTCTTGCTCGGTTGCTACATGACCTCACAAAATACACGACTTCGGAAAATCAAATTTTCTGTAATGTTGCCACAATATGGCTGTTTTTTGTTATACTTACATTAGCCGGTAACACGTATCCTTTTTGAATGTAGACTTTACCAAATCGTGCTCGTCTAAAAAACTGAAGACGTAGAAGGCGTTCTGCAAGGTAGATTATGCCTGGTGCAATAAACCATATCCAGAAGTATTTAGAATGTATGATAATCAAGCACCAGAACACAATACACAATTGATGTGTCCAGTAAAATACCTGAGAGAGAGAGGGAGGAAAAAACACAAGAGTGTAAATCTCTCACAAAAAGTCATTATTTCTTCATTTTAAGACATTGACGGCGTATTGTGTTATCTTAAAATAGAACTCAAGCGTTGCTACTTTTATTCTGGCAGCTATTTGAAGTCACTGTGAGAACTAAGGAATTCCACGACAGATATCAGAAGTGTCATAATTGTATAGATGGGTGACAATCGGCAAATACATAAAACTAACTTTGACTGTATACGGTTATTCATGTAAAGAGACAATCAAAATCTATTGTCTAATTTATAAAAACTTGAACTAAAAGAAGATTAAAAGCTCACTTTGAAGTATCCATTCCTCCTGATAAAGGGTAATGAGCAGATCGTCATAATGATGAGTACGATAATGATCAAAATACCAGTGATGATACAAGATCCTTCAACAAGGCCAAGACCAGGAAAAGGTCGGACCAGGACATCAAGAATCCATGCGGCTGTTGTGCCATTAACATTCTCTACCTGGTAGATCAATCCTATTTGTGAAAAACACATTATACTTTCAAATTACGAGAGGGGGGATTCAAGAGCAACTCTTTAAGCAGATTATCAGTTTTTGTTGTTCCATTTTATTTGTGAACAGGATCGTGTATTCTATTGGCTTTGATGTACGTCCATTCGGTCTCATTGGTTAGTTGGTATCAGAAAACCTTTACCGTAACCCTTCGTCAATATTTACTCTAATTCTAACACAGGCTGCCCCTACCAACTTATCAAACAATGAGACACAATAATCTCAAAATTCATGAGTTGGTTCATGGTTTATTTAGATACTGAAACTGGCAGCCTCAGGGCTGAATTAAATTTAATTTACAAGATGAAAACAAATTTTACTTGCAAATCAATGTTTAACAATTATCACAAAATGTGAGATCGTTACACAATAAAACAATACGGCAAGACAATGAAAGTGTATTTCAGCTTTCTTCATTCAATTTCTTCTTCAATAAGTTTTCTTAATTTATAAAGGTGTTCATGACTGTCTCACCGATGTTTGCAATATGACCGGCGGTGTGAATAACAGACAAGATGATAATGAAGACGGCAACAATCTTGTGGATTACGACATGCTGATCGAGAGGGAGCACCGACATCAGGAACGTATTACGTAATATCGTCAACAGCTTCCGAAGCATCAGGACCAGGACAAAACAGCATTCGAAACTAAGACAGCGACCTGTAGTTTGATGTTAGCAAAATTATGTATAAGTATTGTTTTTTTTTAACAACATGGTTATCAGGCAGTATTTCCAGTGCAGCAAGTCGAGTGGGATGATAAAGGCTCGTTCAGACATTAGGCGGCGAAACCGCGTCGTTGTTGTTTTTAAAGACGGCTTAATGTGTAGTGCCTGTAATGCACTTCATATTTCTGTATCTTGTAGTACAGAGCTCGGTAGAATCGCGCAAGTAGTTACTATTCATTTATACAGTTTTAAAAAAGCGCACCGGCTTTTTTACCGCGTCGTATCTTCTTTTTGGAGAGAGCGAGGGGCGCCAGAAAGACTAGAACAGAAGAGAGAACTAATGAGATAATAAATCAAATACCTGCACTTCTGGCGATGGATATTGCCGCTGGATGCCTCTCATCACTGACGCTTTGATAACCTTCGTACGCACCCCATGCTGCCAGCCCAGCGTTGATCATCACGAAGACGATCCAGAAGATGATGACGGAGAAGTGATTGCGGAGTGTATTGTAGCTACAATGTGTCGATGTGTGTGATTGACTTTTAGGTTTCTTTGTTTTAGGGTTCAGCCACTCAGCCGCACTGATAAAATAAATTAGTTTGAGTAATCATGCTTTCGTATTAATATAACTCAATGTAAATATTGTTTGTAATAGGAATTGAAGTCATGGAAGGAATTACACAAAAACCCAAGTTCCGTTGCTACTGCAACTTTTCAGCAAGTTCATTTCTGCCGCATAACTTGTAAAGGCAAAGCTAGTTTTAATTCAGATGGCGCTCTTCAACATGTCAATGATAAAGTATCAAATCAACATTAATTTAAACTTAACCTTTAAATATCATCTGGTATCCGGTAAAATGCTCGTAAGCTGAGATTTAGCTTAACATGACTCAAAATTTTATTTGAACAATTATAGATTTGTGTATTATAGAAGTATTTTAGAACATTTAGCAAGTTTATTGATCTGGTTTTATATCCTACCTGATTGTAAGATTAGATGTGATGCCAGGGTACCGCTGTAGCTGTTCAGAAAGCTCTTCAAAGCTGACCTCACCATCGCCATCGACATCGGCATCGTCGAAGAGAATTTCAGTGAGCTCCGTCAATGTTTCGTCGCACAGGGTCATTGCAGATTCAGCTGTGCAAGACCGAAGGACCGTCTTGAGCTCATCAAAGTCGATAAATCCGCTACCTGTTAGGATTGAACGGAAACGTCAAAGACGTAGTTTTGTTGCTGTGAAATCATTTGTTGTATAGTATCTTGTAAAATAAAGAAATCACATTAAATAATTCAAACATGATGCATTATGGTTCAAGGCATAGCCACAGAGAGGATTTTTTCCTGTTGGGGACCGTGGAAAATGCAATGAATTATTGATAATTTATTGCATTTTGATAAAAACCGTGTCGATGTGCTATATTAGTGCCCTTTTGTAAGGCATTAATCCCCATTACTGTCAGTTATGACTTAAGAACGTAGGTCCCCTATGATATAAGCATAGTAGCATACACACGCTTTAGCAGTAACGCAAAACAAACACTCGCAAATTAAATAATATCTGAGAATATATACTATTATCTAGATCTATTAGCAAATAAATCATTGTCAAAATCATTCTATAAATTGTGGTACAAAAAATAATTCCACCTTTACGACCAACAGTGTATTTATGACGTTCTTTTCTATCTATAAATGTCATCATAATTTAACGTCTATAAACGTCATCATGTTTAATCTTTATTTGTATTACCAAACTTCGCTGCAATTACCGTTATCCTGCTATTGTGATTTTCCAACCTTACCATCTACGTCATAAACCTGGAAGAGAAAGTGAAGTTTCTCTTGTTCCGTTCCATTGACAAGTAGCCGCAGAGCGCCGATCAGTTCCTTCAAGCTGATACTCCCTGACTGATCCGTGTCAATTAGTTCGAAGAAACGCTCAGCAAAGAATGACTAAATAGACAAGAACAATTAATCAGATTCTAATTATAAAAACACTTCGATCCTAATGAAATACAGGCTCTGCGGGCTCCTCTGTTGGGCCTGTTACTCACAAGCATAGCTTTCATCATAGTTACCTCCATATTTCACTCTTCTTTAACGTTCATTCTTTCAATTCAATGCATTCAAACAAATTGGTATAAGATATTCATTTAATAGAATTCATATTAATTTGTACCATTAATTCGGTGAATCCATTACAAAATGGGAAATTCATGTGAAATATAAATAATAAACTGAATCTGAAACGGAAACTCCTCACATGTTTATGTTGACAGCGTATCGATTCTCCCTCTAAACTATTAATTTAGCAAATAATTATTATGCTTCTATCTTATCCACCTCTATTGTTTTGAAACCTTCTCTTCAGCTTTTATGAACATCAACTGCTTTTTATGTAAATGTGGAATAAATAAACGTCTAGCTTCAATACTTGCATCACTTTTATCCAAGAAATCTAATCAATCACTAAATAGTTATCGAAATTTCGCTTTCTCTCACAGCATAAATTTGCATCATTTAATATTTTGCATACCTATAACTTTTATATTGTTGGACGTCCGGACGTCTGTAACATCTTTTAATAAAGCTTACGATGATCCATCCATGCACAATATTTTATTCATTGATTATAAAATTGATGTGTTATGACTTATGTATGAAGATGATGTATTGGTGAATGCGTGTGTTGGGGAGGAGGTGAGTTGTGTTTGTATAAATCAATGCTAATCATATATACATATATATATATGTATATTATTTCCAAAGTGGTTGCTAGCTGCATCACAAATTAAATCAAATTAATGGGTGTGGCGCCTTGTATGTTGCGTACCTTCTTCACGTTCAGTGCATTTATGAACTCGTCCAAATCAATGAGGTTATCATCTCCTGCAACTTCTTGAAAGTGCTTCTCCAACTTCACCAACCATTTCTCATCCTTTTCTTGCCTAAAACAAGATATACAGATAAAATATTGTTTACAAATAATCTATTTCATTAGTATCAAATTCAGTTTGTAGTTGTACAATCACGTTCAAACATTTGAATTTTCTTCAGACAGATAACGAATTGATTAAGCTCCTTTCAAGCTGTAAACGATCTTTATGGAATAGAAGAAGTTTCTCATATACTATTAACAAAGAGGTTGAAACACGGACGGAGGACTGCTTGTAAATGGCAAATTTGGTTGATCTGAACTTGATATAAACTGACTGTGGACGAAATACAGACGAGATGGACGAATTGAGGACGGTTAATGACCGAACTAAAATCGTATTATAGACATTGTTTTCATATTCTATCCCGACGCCAACCCGCTTAACAATTTTCTAGGACGGTTCCAGAACGTAGTGAGAACTAGTATGATGTGATAGGGGCTTAAGAGGTATATGAATTTCCTTATAAATGGTTAGTGTTACGGTCAGTAGGCTTATTAGGCTTTTGTTATAATGGATATACACCTACATTCCTGCCATATCGCATTGGCTGAAATTATCCGATTCAGAATACGTGTCGTCACCAAGTTGCTCGTTTCAAACCGAACCCCAATAGGTTTCTGTAAGAAAAAAGAAAACAGAATATATAAACGTGAATTTGATTTGTGAATGTCCTTCGTTTGTCCCACAGGCAATCACTGAATATAGGAAACGTAGCTTTGCCTACTGGTCCGATGTTGTATAACAAACTCCCACTTTCTGTACAGTCATGCACATCATTACATTTGTTCAAAAAGCAATGCCGTCTTTTTATGCAATTACTGTAACTCTTTCACCTTCTTTGTAAAATCTCAAAAGTGCAAAATGCCTTCTACACTCTATTCCTTCTCGAATTATTTCAGTGTTTCTATTTTATTTATTGTGTGTTTTTTGTTTTTTTGTATTTTTCTTTTTAATATTTTGTAGGTGTTTTGTTTTAGGTGTGCTTTTGTTACTGTAATAATTCAGTATTTTGTTTGTTTTGATAATTAATGATAAATATTGTATGATTCAAATAGTCTTATTTTTTAAAAGATATATGTTAAATATGATATTTCACTTGTAAAATACTATGTACAATTTGTAATTATTGTATTATTATACTTATGTTTTTATACTGTCATTGTATTATGCAGGGCTTTCTTGAAAAGCAGATGTACTGGCTTCCAGTGGAACTGAATGCAACTACCCTGTTAAAAGAAATCTTGAATAAATAAATGAATAAATAATGCATGTGTTGTGAGCGTCGGTAATAGACAGCTGAATAAGATATAGGCCTGCATCATAACAATTATAACTGTGTTCGTCAGGAAGCTTGCACTAACATTGGCGTAACATTCAATTCAAGTTTCTCAGTCTCAAAATTGTAGTTAATTGATTTATTTGGACATTTTTACCTGTTTCTAAGTGGCTTGTACATTTTTGTTCCAGTTTTTTTTACGGTAGACTTACCACTGTACGATTGTTATCTGTTTATTTGTGTATATTATATTGACACTGTCATGACAATGAAATGCATATCTAGGCCGCATATCCATACACTCATCGACCGGAGATCAGTCTTGTTTACTTGAACCCATACTTTTGCCGTTTTTGAGCCTTTTTTGCTTTTTGTGCGAGACCTATCCCAAAGAAAATATATTAAAGCCACGGTCACTGCTTATGCTATTAAAAGTAAATCAGGTAGCAGTTATATGGTTATTGTCAATATGTTACGCTTGAAGGAAAGTTAGCTATCTTTGCAATTTCATAAAGCTTGCTGGCACAAGATTAAAATGCTTATCAGGTGTCGAATATATTGGCTTCGTGACCTACAAAATCGATGTCAGTCGATCTCTAATCCTTATACTCAAGCACACGCACACCCTTTACACCGTTTTACATGCCATAATTCGTATAACTATACATCCATACAGCCTTCAATGGGCGTTTAGTTTAAACCAATCAGAACGCAGAAGACTGTACGTACAAGTATTCAACTATTAGGCAATTACGATTGAGGGTATACATTATGTACGATGATGATGTATATGTTCATTAACATAAACAATCAAATCAAATCAAATCTTAGATGGATTTTTTGTTCGTATGGATCAATAATTTGATTATAATACCTAGTTCTTATAAAAGGATCCACAAAAAGGATGTGTGCGTGCAAGCACTGAATCCAATGACCGGGGTAATAGTATATTTGTAAAGCGCTTAGAGACATTTGTATAAAGCGCTATATAAAAATTAAATATTATCATTATTATTAATAAATCAGCCTAAGTACATAAACGAAATGTACAGTCGACATCAAGCCTTCCAAAAATCCTCATTATGACGATGATCACACTGCCCACACCAAATTGTTTTATTTTCCTGGCCGGTCACTTTCCGGTGTTATATTAACCAGCTGGTGAAATAAATATATATTTTAATCAGTACTTATGCCGCCCTCTTGAGGACTTTATGCCACCAATTACACACACAACCCCATTACCGAGGGTCTCTTTTAATTTAAAAAAAAATCGAATATTTTCCCTTAAAATTATTTTGTTCACATTTTTTTTCTTCCCAATTTTTTTTTTTTTTTTTTACAAGAATTTGTTTTTAAAGGTACTATGTCCCTTTGCAGCCAACCTCAAATTCTGTAGAACTTTACAGGAATTATGAATATGTCATGTATGCCCTATCTGTGAAATTTAAACGTTAGCAGTGTCCTCATATTCAAATTATGCAAGGAAACCCGTTTACGTGCTAGACTTCACTGTCAGACACTATTGAGTGACTGACTGGCTTTTTTTCTTCATTGGTAATAACATACATGAAAAGAGTTGTAAAGGGTACATGAGCATTTTTCTACATCAATAACCCACTTCTTGTGATGGCCAGATTGACTGATTGAATCTTTGCGCAGCATAAAACGTATGACCATTCGGTACAAGTGTCTGAAAATCAAGACTATTACTTTTGGGCTCTATAGCCCTGAAGTCGATTTGACAACTAATAGTCGCTATTTTCCCACTTGAAGACATTTTCAAGCCCCACTTTTTTTAGGGAAGTTCAAAATTAGTATTATCTTTCAAATGCAGTTGGAATTTAACTTTTTCATTTTTTGGGGCCTGCAAATGGGACATAGTACCTTTAAAGGATGTTATTTTTCTCGAATTATCTCGAAATATTTCTTTTCTGTCAATTTTTTTTCTTCACTTTTTTTCTTTTAAAATTGTATTTGTCCTCGAAAAAAGGGGATTTTTTTTTTTTTTTTTTTTTTTTTAAATATTTTTTTTTAGGGGGGAGGGGTCTCGAAATGTGAAAATTTAAAATTTTGTTCCGTTGGGGGGGGGGGGGGTAATTTAATTTTTTTTTAATTTTTGTAATTAAAAATCAAAAATAAAAAAAAATCACAAAGGTTACGGGGGGGGGGGGGGGGGTTCCTCCAAAATACCTGGATCTTGGTATAGCACGAAAACCATGCAAGTGATCAGGTATGGTGTACAGAGACACTTTTTGGACTTGCGTAACTCTGATATCCGTGACAAGGCAACATTCTCACACTGTGAGAATGTTTAAAGCCGTCTTATATAGTGATGCTCAAGAAGGAAGGCAAAGGCTCCACTAAGCACAAACCCGCGATCTCAACTAGTGACATGGAAATCATACAAAACTCGTCGGTGCTCGATTGTGATGATGAGGTGTCGAACAGCGGAGTGATGTACGAAATACCTGGAAGTTCAAAGTGTCCAGTTGATATGTTTGCCCTTTTCTATGGCAGAAACCAAAAGCAAAGAAGCCAGAAGATGGTGACAACTGGTACTGCAATGTTCCAGTTGGCAAAATCACAATGGGAAATAAGATGAAACAAATTTCCCAGAAAGCTGGATGCTCTAAGTTGTACACAAACCACAAACCACTGCTTAAGAGCGACATACATCACAACTCTGGATAGAGCTGTTTTCGAGTCTCGAGACATTCAATCAGTGAGTGGTCACCACAGTGAGCAATCACTCAAGAATTACTGTAACACTAGCCACGAGCAGCAGAAACAAATGTCCTCACATCTTGGAAGTCGTCTCTACGAGAAAAGAAACATCACTTTACGTTTTTACCTAGTGCAACTCAATCGGTTCCAGATCCTGGTCCAGGACCAGGCCCAAGCAGGCCTAATCGCGCCGATTCCATGCACACGACAAGACAGCCGCTATAAATAGTAGTTCCGGATCGTGACTCAAATAATGTAGACGTTCATGTGAATTCCCATAAACAACTATCTTTTGCATTTTGGCAGGAAAAGGTACACCAGGACCTTTCAACGACTTCAAATACTTTTCAAATCCACGATTGTGTGATGAACATTTATAACAAACCTTAGAGGGTCTATAGTCTAAAGACTGTTCAAGACAAGACTTTGTGTAGGCCTAGATCTTCATGTACATATGTTTGGCTATGACTTGAATTTGACTATTTCAGCGTTTTAAACTATTCTACATGTACATTATCGCTGTTTGGAAGATGCGCTTTGGAAAGACATTTTTACCTTGCTGGTTCAAGTTCTAAGTTACTTCAAGTTCTACGTAGACTCGAGTCTAGATGTACATTGTTCAAGTTGGAGTTTCAATTTCAATTTTTTTCTATGACCTGTTGCATTGATTTACAAGTTTATGAAGGATGATCCTGATGATATAAAAGGTAAGACTAAAAAAGTAAGATCAAAAAATATAAATAGTCTAGGTTAGAACTTAGATCTATAGATCATACTCTTAGATGTAGACTGATTAATGTATGGACTTTGAGTTTGAGATGAGGGTGATTGATCAAATAACAAGGATCCACGTCATAATTTTATAAAACAAATATTACACATAATTTTGTTCGGGCATTAGTAAAATTACCCACACTCGGTACCTTTGAAAAAAAAACACGCACTCGGCTATCGCCTCGTTCCTGTTAGACTTTTCCAAAGGTACCTTGTGTGGGTAATTCTTACTTATGCCCTCACTGCTGTGTATTATTTGTATAGGCTATATTTATACATGTAATATCTTTTTTATTCATGGTTTGTGGAATAAAGACGAAACGAATCATGAATCCCCTTTGAAATATAGTTTCTTTTAAATAAAGTTACTTACATAACTTGCATATAATTTACTCTTTATTGATACATCTTGAAGTCTGATAAATGCAGTATTTATGCAATTATCTATATGTAAAAAGAGAACCAATTAAAATAACTTTCATAATAATTTTAGACTAGGCAGACTGACTCCTTGATGTAAACTTTCATATCAAAATTACGTAAAGGTTTGGAACAGTTACTCACCATTCAGGACGCTCCTCTCCCCCAAAGTTAAAAATGAAAATAAACACACGTAAAAGATTTCCGGGCTTTATGAGATATTTAAGCCCTCGTTATCACTATATTTCAATACGATTCACGCTATGGTTTCCTCTTATGTTATTTGTTGCCAATATTTGTTTGAGCAGGTTTAGCCTAATTTGGTCCAGTGAATTTCATA